GTCTGTTGCCTCGGCTCAATTCTCTTGCATGGATTGCTTTTGCTCTGCTCCAAAGGCAAGAATCCTGCTGCAATGCATAGCAACGCGCTCAAGCTCAGGCTCCAGCTTCGAGTCTCGGCTGGTCACGCACGCAACTCGGATCTGCAGCCAGAACCTTAAAGTTGGCTTGTCGCCGTTCTTTTGGCCGTCGCCGGTCGTTTCATATTCGCCATTCCGCGCATCGCTTCTGGAGCGTATGGACCGAGATGGCTCCGCATTTCGGTCCGCTTTTTCATGCCGTGTTGGCCGTCTCGCATCATTCACATTCCCTGTGGGCTCTGCGATGCATGTGTGATGCAGGCAACTGCTTGAGCGCCACCAATGCATGCCGAGTGCGAGCGCCTGTTCTGTCTGTGGAGTCGGTGGGGACGAGGGGCAATTTTGAGCATGTTACGCCGCCACGAAGTTAGGTTTCCCTCTAAAAAAAAAACTCGCGCCGCAACTCGCACGACTCGACATGGCCGAAGTCCGAGCGAGAGCCGCTTCGAGGGTCCACAGCCTTTGGAGAGCTTCTCGAGGTATCCCTCGTTGCCGACTCACCCCACGATCCAGGCTGGTCAACGACTGCACAATGTCCAACGACCCCAAGGCGCTGCTGGCCGCCAAGTTCCTCGACTCGTTCCTGCGCGAGATCGTGCTCGACACCGCCATCCACACGCACGCCAAGATCAAGCGCGCGCGCAGCATCTGCCACCTCTGCGGCGTACCCTGTCAAGCACACACACCCGCAGCAGAACAGTCCGCCTCCAGCAACGCCACCTCCGCTCTTGCGCTAGACACAGCATCCACGCCCTCGCGCTCCGCAACGCCTGTGCCGGGATCGACAGCGACGACGGCGGCGCACAAGCCCGACTACTACTCGAACAACCCGCTGTTCGAGTGTCGAGTGTGCTCGCGCCAGGTGAGCTCGAACCGGTATGCGACGCATCTGGCCAAGTGCATGGGCATGGGCAGCAAGGGCGGGCGCAAGGGGGCCGCGCGCAACGCCAAAGCCACCACGAGCAGCCTGGCAGGCTCGAACAGGCAGAGCGGGGCAGGCACACCACGGTATGCGAGCGATGCGGACGACGACAGCTTTGCCAAACGCAAGAACGGCACGGCAGCGGCGACGAAGAACGGCGTCAAGCGCGGCAGCAGCCCGCTCGCCGCCAGCACGCTCGCCAACGCACGCATGCACAAGCGCATCAAGACCAGCTCGCCCACCCCGCCGCCCGCGGACAGCCTCGGCATGGGCATGAACCGCTCCTACTCGTCCCAGCCCTTTGCACCCTCCGGCCTGAGCACCTCGACCGTGCTCAGCGGCTCACCGCTCAACCCCAACAACGCACCAGCGCCGCTCAACGCCAAAGCAGGCTTCAAATCGGATCCAGCCAAGAAGAGCGCCAGCTCACCCAAGAAGCGCAAACGCCTCATCGACGACGACGAGGAGGACGACGCCGACTCGTACCACGACGCATCGGACCGCGACTCGAACGAGGAGGAGGGCGAGATCTCGGACGATGACGACGACGACGACGTCGCGCTCGCCGCCGCGTCTTCAGCACGTCCGCCCGGCGGCGGCACCAAGATCAAGATCCCGCTCCGCGCCACACCGTCGGCGAGCTCGACCGCCAAGCCAAAGACGTTTGTCGTCGCCGACGACTCGGACTCGGACACCGTGCTGTCCACCACGCGCAAGTCGAATCAGTACGACGATGCTGACGACCAAGACGACGACGACGATGAGGATGATGATGATGATGACGACGACGACGACGACCAGGACGATGACGACGACGACGACGATGTGCAGGTCACACGCGTGACGCACCGAAGCGCGGGTCCCAAGTCCAACAAACCCGCCGCTCCGCCCGGCGGCAGCAGCGGGCTGCAGAGAGAACGCGGCAGCGACGGCGAGTTCATCGACGTCGAGAGCGCATCCGACCAGAGCGATGCCGATTCGTTCTAGCTTCTCCTCCTGCACTGTCTCGTCTTGTACTCTACGCGCACCTCATCGCAACGCTGACTGCAACGCACTCTGCCTGCGTACGCGACCACAGACCCGAGCTGAGCCTCCGAACGAACAAACACAGTTCCAAGAAACGACGGTAAGCGAAGGCACTAACGATACAAAGACGCCCGGTCGCACAGCAGAGCAGCGAGGGCAACGACGCCAAAGAGGTCCATACGAAAGCGAAAGCGGAGCAACGAGCGTGTACGCACCCAACGATCCCCTCTACCTCACAGCGCACTCATCAACGACACCGCCAGCGCGACCACACTAACCACCCCGAGCGCGGGCACGAGCATCACGCCCGGCGACAGCATGCCCAGACTCAAAAAGATGTTGCCGTACTTGCCGCTGCCGTTCGTCGAGTTGAGCGGCACGAAGCCGATCATCTTTGCGCTATCCTCCGACTCGAGGTCGGCGCAGTTGGGGATCTCGCACTCCAAGTCGGCCGAAACGGCGTTCTGGTTGCGGTACCAGCACTGTGTGCCCTTGGCGAAGCCGCAGCACGTGTTGACAAAGCCGTTGCCCCACGACGCCTGCTGGTTGACCGCGAGGTGGTTGGTCATCGAGCATGTGGCTTCGGTGATGGTGGCGTCGCCGCCGGCGGGTGCGGAGCCGGACGCGGTCGACGCGGGCGCGGACGAGGTGGTGGTGTTGGACGCCTGGCGCGCTTCGAGGAGGGAGCGTTCGGAGAGGAGCGCGGCGTCGTCGAGCGTGCGCTCGAACGGCTGCGAGACCGAGTCGATCGCCTCGAGCTGCGCTGTGGTGAGTGTGGCTAGTGCCAGCAGGATGGCGACGAGCGCTGCGGTGGAGAAGGCGAAGGATCGCATGGCGGGGGGAATGTAGATGGCATAGAAGCCGAATCTGTCGAGTTGACGTCAGTGAAGTGAGCTTCCCAGCGCGTGTGCGGATGTCGGTCCAGAATGTGGTATGAGCAGATAAAAGTGACGGTGCGTGTGGCGATCTGGTCGATATTTTTGCTGGACTGATGTGATGTTCCGGAATCGAGTCAAGAGAAAGTGGAAGAGCTGTGCGTCGATCCAAAGCCAGCAGCGAACCAGCTTCGATGCAGCCAAGGCAGGGAGAGTACGGGGGGAAGGTGACAAAAAAGTGGTGGCGAGGTGGATGGTGATGAGAAGAGTTCAAGATACCACGCTCACGCAGCGCAACGCAGAAGGACCACCAAGCGGAGGTGGAAATGGTTTGACAGGCATTGAGCGGCAGCAGGCATATGATCATCCCTTTGGCTTGGCTTGGCTGAGCTGCTGCATCGCCGCGGCGGCTGCTGCTGCTGCTGCTCGAGCGAGAAAAGCGGGTCAAAATTCCAGCCTCTTTTGCGCTCAAAATAGACAACAAACAATCCTCAAATCGCCGCGACCGCCGTCTGCTGCGAGAGGAAATTCGAATTTTCAGCTTCGCCTCGATCTGGTGCAGCAGCAGCAGCAGCGCAGCGCAGGCAGGCGGCGTCACAGCACGAGGCCACCACACGTTGGCGCCCGTTGCTACTGTACCTGGCATTCCTTGCTCCTCGCCCTAACCCCCACTTTGGCCTCCCCGCACCCACCATCCTAATTGCAACAAGCTACTGTACCCCACAGCCGACGGTCAAAGCACGCAGACCCACTCACTCATACCATCATCTCATCATTCACTGCAGTCAGTGTCTGGTCGGCAAAGTCTCGCTAGCCCCGCCTCGGGGCACAGCGGCAAACGAGCCAAATTTCCAGACCCTGGGCCTGCGCTCGAGTGTGGCTTCTTAGCCGATGGGAATGTTCTCTCTCTCTCCCTTTCACCCCGCAAGTCTCCGCACAGTCGAGTCGATCGCTGTTTTTCACGCTGCACGCACAGGCACACTCGTGTGTCGCCCAAGGGGCGTTTGCAAATGAAATGATTTTTTTTTTTTCCCCCTTGGCGAGATTCGGTGGGGAATTTGTCGATGCAGCGTGTGCTGACACTTTGTTGATCGCCATACAGTGCCCGTTCTCGCTCGCTTTTTCCTGCTATCGACTCGCTGTGGCAGTCGCTGTCGTCTGGTGGCTTTTTCTGCGTGGAGAAAACTCGCACGAAAAAAAAAAGAAAAAGAAAAGTGGAAGGTGGGAATCGAACCCACGACCTCGAGATGTTTTCATAGGGCGCCGCTCTTTCGAGAAGATACGTTGCAATCTCACGCCAAACCACTAAGCCTCTCCCACGCCTATTGCTGCTGCAGACCTTAATAGCGTACATATCCTGTACGTCATTGTGCATCGAGCGTGACACACGGATCTGCGCTACATCCCCCGCGGCATCGAGCGGTGACGTGACGTTGCCTCGCCGCTTTTACGCTGTCGTGTTCATCAGGTCACGTTGGCCTCCGAACCGGGTTGCCGTTGTGCGCAGAGTTGGCAAGATGCGCACGGTTCATTGACAGGCGCAAGTGCGTATAAGTAGCAAGGGGTTGGCGACCAGAGTGTCACACGACATCCAGGCTCTTGATCAACATTACTCACTCCCTCGTTTCGAATCAAAGTACCCAACTATGCCGCTTACCGGATCGTGTCTCTGTGGCCAGGTGCAGGTGACGGTCAAGGACAGCGGGCTGCCGCTCAAACCGGCCGTGTGTCGGTGCACGTAAGTCGGCCAGCGGGCTGGAGGGGGCCGATGCTTCGAGCGTTGCTGACGCGGTCGTGATGTGGTCTTCAAACAGCAACTGCCAGCAGACTGGTGGATCGGGTAAGTGGTACAACTCGTCTTGCTGCCGACCAAGAGCCGCAACTCATCATGCAGCCTCCTCCTCTTCTGCTCTGTCGCGCGTCGCAGTCTTCTCGCTCGTCTCGATCCTTCCCGAGGAACACGTCCAGTTCACAGGCGAGACCAAGTCCTGTAAGCCCGCGCGCCTCGCCCACCACCCCTGCACTCGCACCCCGCACTCACCCACTCTTGCCCGCATCGCCAGACGCCGACAAGACCTCGGACAGCGGCAACGTGCTCCAGCGCCACTTCTGCGGCACGTGCGGCTCGCAGGTGCAGAGCGTCTCGCCCGCCTACGCCGGTATGGCCATCATCAAGATGGGCCTGTTCGCCCAGTCCGACGGCTGGGACAAGGACATCGAGGCTCCCGTCGCTCAGATCTTCACCAAGAACAAGAAGAGCTGGGAGACGCTGCTCGACGGCGTGCCTGCGCTCGAGGCTGGTCGTTGAGCACCCGTCCAAGCGCGCACGTGTGGCCGGTAGAACGCTTCGGTCGAACGTCGTGTTGTATTCGCGCCTGAACAGCGTTGCTCGTTGCAATTTGAAATACCAATCATGAGGCTCCGTCAAGCGCGAGCAGTGATAACGCTCCCAGCGCCGGCGACAAGCGGCGAACGAGATAAGAGAACACACGCCCAGACGCCGCCGCGTACCAAGCAAGCCAAGCTATCGCAGAACATTCTTGGCATAAATGAAGCGGCTAGCGTTGGTGTTCGGCGTTCCGCACACCCCGAAAGGCGCTTCTCTAGAGCTCGAGTGACGAGGCGAGGCAGGTAGCGCGCCAAGAACGCGAGGCGATGTCATGGTCGTTCCGGGGAAAGGCGGCTGCGAGATAGCGATAGATAAGACGCTCAAGCGGGGGGATTGAGTCGTGATGGGGCTTTTCGGCGATCAAATCCGGATTCTTCTCCACCTTTCGCGTCGACGGCTTCTCAAAACCCTGCATGAGCAAAACGCATGGACCACCATCGGCTCACTGATAAGCTTGCGAGAGCACATATAAGACGCCTTACTCTCACCTCCGCACCGTCCTTCACCCTCACATCACCACCACCATCGACACCTCACATCGATCGAAGCACCTCCAAACACACGCGCACGCCAGCAATGTCGAACCCGTCGTCGTCCGGAAACATCCAGAAGCCGCGCATCCTCGCGGAGCTGCCGCCCATCTTTGCGTCGCTGCACGATGCCAAGGTCAAGGCCAAGCTGTCGTTCGCCGAGCTCGCCGCCAAGGTGCAGCGCGACGAGTGGTACGTCGCCGCCATCTTCTACGGCCAGGCCAAGCCCGACGCCTCGGACGTCGCCAAGCTCAGCTCGGCGCTCAACCTCCCGCAGCGCTACCTCGACGAAGCGTTCGGCGAGGATTTCTTCCCACACCGCGGTCTCGGCGATTTCCCCCCGCAGGACCCCGTGCTGTACAGGCTGTACGAGGTGCTTGTCGTGTACGGCTATCCGCTGAAGCATATGATCCATGAAAAGGTACGTGTGCCGCACAGTGGAGAGAAGAGAGAGAGAAGCGGATCGCTGACACTTTTGCATTTGTTGTGCGGTGGTGGCAGTTCGGTGACGGCATCATGTCCGCCATCGACTTTGAAGGCCACGTCGACAAGGTCAAGGGCAAAGCCGGCGAGGACCGCGTCAAGATCACGCTCGACGGCAAGTTCCTCCCCTACCGCCGCTGGTAACCCACTTAACCCTGTAACACCACCACCCTCAATGGCAAACTTCGTTTCCACATTGCACTGCTCCTGAGATGCTCTATCGCAATGCACCGCCGCTCGCTGCCACACCTAATCCTCCGTGGGATCACCATACTCAAAGCATCCCCTGTGCCTGCTCCGCGCCTCGTCCAACCCCTTCGCCAACGCCCGCGTCATCACCGGATAGCTCTTCCAGTACCGCACCTTGTCATCCAACAACGCATACCCCTCCCGCGCCAGCTCGTAGTTGATGCACCCCTGTTCCGGGCTCTGTCCAATCCCGGGGCTCTCCGGATCGTACAGACTGACATGCGCCACGCCCGTGCCCGGCTCGACATAGTCGATGTTCGCAATCATCTTCCTCCCCTCGGCGGCAATCGCCCTGAACCGGTCCAGCGCCTCCTCGACGTACTCGGCCTGCTTGCCGTCGTAGAGGCGCACGAACGAGAGCCGCGCCTCGCGCGCCTGGGCGGGCAAGCGCGTGCGCCCGAAGCGCGCCGCATCGAGCGGACGCAGATCCCTGAACTTGACGCTCTCCTGGTTGCCGTAGTCGATGAACGACACGTGCGCCTCCTTGAGCCCCGGCGACACTTTGCGCACTACGGCGCGGTACCATGCGCCGTCCTGGCTGAACTTGGCCGAGACCAGGTCGCCGGCGCGCGGGATGAAGCTGGCGTTGCCCGCCGCAACGGGCGACTTGTGGTGCAGCGAAAACTCGTCCATGAGCGTCTCGAGCTCGTTGATCTGGTCGTTGAGCACCTGGATACTGAACCCGAACGGATCCTCGGGCCCGGACGAGCCGCGCACGTCCGAGATGATGCAGTCGACGTACTC